TATGCTTAGTCTGCTGTAGCCAGTTCTAGGTGGTGCGGCTGCCATCTATCGTTACCTGAAAACCACACCTCCTTATATGGTGTCACTGCCTATTGCTTCTTTAGTGTTACCATTCTCCTCTGGATGACGCTATTTCATGCCATTTTTGTGTTATACTCATGCATTAATCTTGATGCCGAAGTTGGGTATTAGAAGGTTAGGGGGCTTCGGATGTTTTCTTCTGAATGGCTCTTCTTTCAAATATATACACTTTTACAGATTTTTTCTTTCTCTCTCGGAGCCCATTAGTTTGTAGTCTGGCGCACACTGATTTCAGCTCCATTGGTTCACCCAAATTCATATTTGGTACCATTTAGTACAAATTAGTACGAATTTCCAAAACATTCTACAATCCCAATTCTACACGCCAACAATAATCCTTACTTCAAATTTTAGGATCTTTAAGTTTTCCCAAAGTTATAATTAGAGCGAATTTAGTACAATGTAGTATTCCTAAGTATAAATTTCCAAAACGAAATCCATACCCTTATCCAATAGCAACCTTATTTCCAATTTTTTTTTCAAGCTCCATCGATTCAGCCAAATCCAGATTTGGTACCATTTAGTACATTGAATTTCCAAAACTTCCTAAAAACCTCAATTCAACCTCCAACAATGATCCAAATGTCAATATTCCAGCCCTATCGGTTCACCCAAACCCAAATTTGGTACCGTTTATTACAAAATGTCTTACATACACTAATCCTACGGTTTACACAAATTCAAGTTGTACCAAATACAGTACAGTTAATATACCAATCCTACACTCAGACGGTAATGTTAATCTCAGGATTCCAACTCCATCCGTTCCTCCAAATTCAAATTGTATTAAATTTAGTGCCGTTTAGTACTTTTCGTCCACTTCCAAAAACCACCTTCTTATATCGTCCCTACTTTTCAACCTTAAATCGCATTTCAAATTTCAAGATAAAGCTATCCATTCACGTGCTACGAAATTGTAACAAATTTAGTACATTGAAATTTTTAAAATGTTGAGACCAAAAAATATTAATTTATTTCTTTAGCAAAACTGTGACCATTTTATTGGGAGAAGAACCATAGAGTTGGACAGATATTCATTATTTTCAAACTTGCTTCACATGTTTAAGGTATAATACGTTGTCTAACACCCACCCGAGTGTTATGTTCTCAACATTTCTTAAACTGTTTTAGACCAAATAAGCCGACATCACCATCTACGTAGCTGTGTTGCTAAAAAATAATTTTATAATTTCTCATAATTAATATTAGCACCTCTTACATCCGTCACAAGAATAACAAAATATCTGCTTTTTACAAATAGAAGATGTTTGTGATGAGTTATTCTTCTATGAAACCGTGAGACAAAAATAACAACATCAAACATGCATAGTATATCATTCAATACCATAACAAATGTTTGTACAACCATGAATTTCCGGTTTATATTTCCCTTCTTTTCATGGTGTTTGAAAGAACCTTAACATTTAATGTCATTCTGAATGAATGATGTATTCAGGCAAGGTTTAATGGAGTCATGTTCAGTGTGCTTTTGTGTGTGTGTGTGTGTGTTTTTTTTTAAGAAATCGTTGTAATTTTCCACATTACAAAGGAAATAAACCCATACATTGGCAAAACAAACGCCTCAAACAAAGACAAACAACCAAGCGTAGAAAATTCTAATTAAAATCTGCATTTTTCAAAGACAGCAAATCATTTGAGAGTCAGTCAGTCAAACAGCCAGGTAGTCTGTCTGCCAGTCAAGTCAACAAACCACTGTAATGCCACCATGGTTGAGTTGTAAACACAGTTGTTATATTTCAAACGATTTAACACAGTTTGCCACTTATAAATTATTAATTTTTTCATTGGTTCTATCAATTTTATGCTAATTTCGAATTTATGCATACATAACGTTATGAGTGGGTTCTATACGATTTTGTTGTTGTTGTTGCTTTGAAATCATTTCAATAATATTTACAATTCTTAATGAAAATTTAAATCCATAAATCACTCATAAATAAATAAAAAATGATTCAGTTTTATTTTTTTCGTTATACGTTTGAATGTGTATTTCTAATATGATAATTCTATATTTAAATTTTTAGAAAAACACGAGCTGCAGAACCTGTTTTTTTTTCATCTTTAGAATCAAATTAATTTTTATTTTTGCGAAAATCACTAAGAACTTAAATTAAATTATATATAATTATATATGAAAGAGTCAAGAGGTGGTGTGTGTATTTTCAACAAATATGTTTTCTTCAGAATCTTTTAAGTGGTACGTGCTTGTAATTTTTATTATTGGTTGGCATGCCAAAGCGGATGATATGCGCTTCGATTGATGTTTGTATCTTAAGTCTTTTGTTTTTTCTTTTCCATCTTCTATGAAACACATGTATGTGTGTATGGCATGTGTTATAATAATGACCACTTTGTTGATAATTGATTAGATTTAAAATTTTATTATGCGAACAAAAGAGATAATAATTAGTTGTTATAATAATGGAGATATGCTCCTTGAAGAAGAAGAAAAAATATTGAACATAAAAAAATCAATTAAATATTTTTTATTAGAGGAATGTTCCTCACTTTTCTTTTCGAAGTTCAGGGACTCAATTTTGTTCGTTTTCTAGAGGGAAGTCCCAGAAGTAATGGATCATGTCCTCTATCATCAAGATCGCAGTACTCCTTCCTAACATATTACGATCTCGTTTACTTCATTCAAGGGTTATTTTATCAGCTAGACAGACAAACAAGATAATTCTAAACTGCCTGAAACGAATTGGTCAAAAATTAGTCGACATTCCAATGAGACAAATTTTACCCAGAGTATTATTATGGTGAGGATATAATAGTATAGACTGGAATGGAGTATGATGGACGCAAGTCATGATATTTATATGACAGTTTCATTTCTAAGTTGACTTCAAAATTTCGGTGGCATATTTGTGGGAAGACCTAGTTTTGCGAGGAAGCCAAGTTACATCCACTTCGTTTTCATTAAACATGCCTAAACCTAGACCTACATTAAAAACTGACTGTATGGAGATACCTGCGTACCCGATGTGCCAAATAATGTTGTTGAAGTTGAAATCATATTTATGGGGTGCAATGAACCGAAAACTTTTTTTTTGTCATATTTTAGCTCAAGAGGCCATTATTATATGCAGAACATCACATATTTTACACGGTGAAGTGGATCTGACCAAATACTTAGAACGGCTGTTTCGATGATGGTCGGGCATTATTATATGCAGAACATCACATATTTTACAAGGTGAGGGCGATCTGTCCAAATACTTCAACCATAACCTGAAGTGACCAAATTTTTATTTTATGGCGTAAATATTCACCTAGGGGAAACAAGATTTGGAAAATATGCCAGGGTTAGAAAATGAAACTGTTGACCTATAATCGGTCAAGAGGGTACAAATATCAAGAAATATAGGCCCGGCTTAGAATATAGAACCGCAGAAAGTTAAATGTTTGTGGTAGTTGGTCGGCCCCGTTCGACTATACTGCATCGCTCACTGGTTTAACGTTTTATGAGATATAAGGTTTTGTCCTCACACTTGACACATGTTTGGTAAGAGTATTACGAAGTGAAAATCGAAACATAGACCTACATTGAATATTTTTTCCATGGCTATTTTATCCATTGACATATTGTTCTTTGTATGGGGACTATATCTAAACATGGATATCAATTAAAATTTCAAGACCCTACATTGCTAAAATTGCTAAATCGAGATGAACTACAGTCCGATTGCTTTTAATGCAAAAAATTTGATTGGTATTATTTATGTTAAATAAGAAAATATCAATCAAATATTTTGGTTTGTTGCAAGCCAGAATTCAAAATTCTATTCTCTACAAAATAATTGTCAGGATATTAAAAGTTAATATATTTAAAAATTATATTAAAATTTCAATTTAATTTTTCAAAAATACCGCTTTTAAAAACATGTTAAAAATATAACCATTTAAAACTCAAAACACAAATTTGTGGCTAATCAGAGCATCTTCTCAAAAGTAATATTATTTTATATAACACATTGTTACCATAAACATTTTATTTCAACTTATATAGCTGTTAATTAAAAAATAATAACTTAAAAAATATATATATATTCTATAACCTTGCATTATAGAAAGGAGCGAGCGACATCTGCCAATGACGTTTGTTGCATTTCAGTTAACATGTTTTAGTTAGTTAATAAAATTAAAAAAAAAACAGAGCGGCAAAATAAACATTTAAAATTAATTACAGCAGCTGTCAATTTTTACAATGTATTACATTCTAAATTAAGTTGCATTTGAGAGCTGCTGGAAAAAAGGTAATGTCACATCTCAAGTGCAAATGCCTTCACAACTAAATAAATTAAAAAAAATCGAATAAAGAAACAAACAACGAAAACTCAAATAATTTTATCACCTTCTAATATGGCAACCCACAGTGACTGGTGGCTTAATTAACAACTCAGCATTTATTTGTTAAGTGAATTATGGTAGCAAAAAATTAAAAAATAAAAAAAACACATCATAGACATTTACGGTTGCAAAGCATACTGACTATAATCTACTTATCTAAAATACTTTCGATTTTATATGATTGTCTTTCTGTTTAGTTTAAATGCTTTTTTTTTGTTCGTTGAAATAGAAGTGTTGACAACAAGTTTGTTGCTTAAGTCTTTCATTCTAAACTGTTTGTAATATCTTCTTAAAATTATATAATTCCACTTGTCAAGTTTGTAGCTTAAGTCTTTTATTAACATTCTCGTAATAAATTTTTTAACAATGACAACAAAAGAACTTCTTCGCAAAGCTTTTAGAATTATAGATTTAACTAATGATTGTAATTATTTTTTAACATACTTGTATGTATGTGTGTCGTAGTGTCATAAATATGTTGCTAGTTTTGCAGATGATGACTCCACTTGACTTGGCTAAGTCACTTACCGCCATTACCGATTGCGACAATGGCTAATGCCTTGGCAACGGCGAAACTACAAACTTCACTTGACTGGAATTGGCTTGGCTTGGAGGCAAGTTTGCCACACGACAATCAAGGTTGGCGGTAATTGATGAGTTTAGTGTGAAATGTGTTCATAAATAGCAACAACAAAAAAACACTGGCATATTTATCTATAAATACAAACATCGAAACATATGTATGTACATTGTATCCTCCATAAGAACAGAAACAATTGTTAGTGAAGAGAAACTTCCATAGACAATGACTGCAATCATTTTCATAACCTTGAACTTAAAAACAAAAACTACAACCGCAGCTACAACAACAACTGTTTTCATAGTCATATTTTTAATAAAAAAAACTTCTCAGTTATTTTTAAAAAACCCAATGGAAATGCATGTGAATATACTTGTAAAGAATTGTTTTTGTTTTTACATCACTTGAACATCCAATGACATGTAGGTGTGTGACTGACTGTCAATGATTTGTTTATTCTCTTGATGCCACATTAATATGCAAATTTGTTGAATGAAAAAAAAAACAGATATTCAAATAAAACCGAAATCCATTAGTAAGCAAATGATTTAATCATTTGATGTTTGGAGCAAACCAATCGCTTTTCATGACAATAAACTCATTTTGCTGCTGGGAAGAAGCATTTCAAACATTTTACTGGAAGGGTGACACAGTGTTTCCATACAGGAAAAAAAACGTGATGATGTGTTAAAAATTAGTTTAGGGTGGAGGTATAGGGCTAGAGCCGCATTAGATAAAAGAGCGTAAAAACGGCTCTCTGACTGTCTACATCGGACACTCTTTAATTTAGAATGAGAGATTGAGAAGTAGAAATTTTCGAAATTTATGCTTGTATTGGTATATTTCAAAATGGTAAGAAATGTAGATAAAATATTAAACTTTTACTTGGGAATTGGTTTATATATAAAGGAATACATTTAATTGTACTTAAACTGGTTACAATGTATTAGACGATGTTGCGGACCTATTTATCCGATATTTACCCCAAACATCTTTTTAGTATAAATATGATGGGCCCTATCTTTAAACCAAACTGAATTAATCTTCCCCTTCATATATACATATGGCGGTTGATATATAGTGGTACCTATTTATCCGATATTTACACTATCTTCGGATTTAATGCAATCTTGGCAAATATTAGACTATGCAATTGGTGAATCATATCGTATACTTCATAACCTTCACATTCAGTACTCATAATTATGTAAAAAAGTCCATGTTAAAAATATTGGGTTGTACGAAGCATGGATCTAATATAATGCACCCCTCGGATTACATTGAATATTTATTGTTTAGGGAAATTTTAACGGGTTTGTGGGGACGGAACCAGAAGTTGATCATATGGATTTTTTTTTTTTGATCATATCGGTTCCTCCTTGTAAAGATATCGTGTGTACCAGCTATATCAACTACAATTTATCTGTAACGGATTGGTCCAAAGTTTTAAATTGATATTTTGAGGAAGTACAGTTTTGATCATATAAAGGTGTATAGACCTCTGAGGCTTAGGATATACTTAGTAATAAGTAAAATGTCGTATAGTCGACCGGCTTGAGATTTTTATACGGTATCATTGTATGGAGAACAATTTATGTAAACATTTAAAAAAAACAAACTAAGAACAGGTTTATGTCAACATCAAATATTACTCTCATTAAGATATTGGTTGGGGAAAAAGAAATCCATTATTTTTTTATGAATTATAGGACAATATTTAACATGCTTTGGGCCAATTATGTACCGTTTTGCTGTATGATTTGTTGCCATTTTAAAGTTAACTTTTCATAGTAGTTCTGCTCTTTATTTGCAAAGAAAAAACATAGTAGTCCTGGTTTGGCCTGGTTTTCGCACAGAATTACCTCCATTTCTCATCTCCAGTCACCATCCGTTTTGAGAAATGGGCCTATCTCACTCCGTTTGGCCAAGGCCTCGCAGATGGGAATTCGATCCATCTTATTTTTTCTGTTAATATGGTTTAGCACCCAAATATCGAGTTTCTTTTTGAATCCAGCTTTGTGTAAATGCTTCAAAACAGTTTTAGGGTCGATTTTTAGCTCCTGGGCGATAATACGATTGCAAACATGCCGGTCAACTTCAATCATTTCTCCGATTTTATCGACATTTTCGATGAACTGCCTACCTGTGCGAGGTGCATCTTTAACATCAAAACTTCCTGAACGGAATCTACAAAGCCAAAAATACACATAATTGGTTGTTACAGTATCGGAACCATAAACAACATTCACAATTTCAGCCGCTTGCATTTTCGCCTTTGTCAAAGAGAAACTTTAAAATATACCGAATTTTCTCTTTGTTAACTTCTATTTGTAACAACCTGTAACTCACAACTGAATGCTTCAAACAAAAATCAGCAAAATAATTTTTTTACTGCGAAATGTCACCCCTCCAACACGAATAAATCTGAAATTGTTTGATCGATGCTTTACGAGAAATCTATCAGTACAGCCATCGGCCGAAAATATAATTGATTTCCTTGTTCCCAACCTAATATATTTTAAACTGTACGAGTAGCCCGAAATGCCTATTTATAACTACATCTTTTGGAGAAAACGACTGTTTAAATTGGACTAGATCGTTATATGGAGGTTACGGCCAACATGCGAATAAGTTGTTTACCGTATGACTGACATGGATAATTTGTATAGAATTTTACAATGATATACAACATTTTTACATTATGAGGTATCCGATTTAATAAACACAATATTATAAATGTTTTAGAATAATCAAAAGTATTGAAAGATCATATGAAAATATCTTAGAATTAATTATATTAAAAAAATTAAAAATAAAGCATTTGGAATACTTAAGCCGCGCAGTCGACGTATTATTGACCCGTATCATTCACCATCATGATACACTTCTAAATATTATTAAATTTGATCACATTATACAAATATGCAGACATTAATCAATCAATTTATTGTTGTCAAAATATTGCTGGGTAATTTTGTGGCGTTTTATCGAAATAATAAAGAAAAACGTGAATAAAAACCAGTTGATACCTTTGGAATTAAATACTTGTTAAGCTCATTATTGAATGTCACAATAGCATTTTGATATATTTCAGTGCAATTTATCAATCACTGGCGTATCAATAAACCGATTTAAAAGTGTTAATGTATTGCGGATGACAAATATTCTTATGATATCTTTCATATTTGAAACAACTCTAAATATGAAACTGAAAAGCAACCTGTGCGAGCATGTGCATGGAATACTTTTCAGTGAACCCCTTGAAAGAGGAAGGACCCCCAACAATAACAATTGCATTGTTATTTGGTTATAAGGATGAACTAACAGATGTGGCGGACGAATTTGTAGAAGGAGATATTCATGATGTACAAAGACAGTTTCACTTGAAGCCAAATTATGATAAAAAGCCACGAATTGGGTTTCGTATAATTTCTGCATAATTCCTATTTTCCAGATATAGTCCGCAGCCCCTATTTCCTATCTCAGATATAAAATGTACACTTGTCAAATCGTCGTAGTTAACCTTTCTTGATTTTTTCTATGAGACACTCTTTCGCCTTTACCCACATTATAATTAACATCCATACCTAACACACTGTGTTATAAATGAATTATTACATTTGTAATAATGAGCAAATGGCTGAGTCACATTCATAAAAAATCAACACAACAACAATAACATTTAAAAAAAGAAATGAATATTTATTAATAAGACATAAAAAATGGTTTTATTGGTTTTGTTCCCCCTGAGTCTTCTTAAGTCTCCTATCGTTCGTTGTGATTTCATACAATTAAGTCATTTTGTAGTGTTTTTTCGTTTGTTTTTAATGATAATTTTGGTCGAGATACCCTGTAATGACTATATAAATGAAAATTGTAAAGCATTCTTGCAACACCAAAATTTTATTTTTTGTTGGCAAATTTTGGGCTACCCCAATAGATATTAAGATAAAAGATTTACTCCTATAGCTGTCGTGTGATATTTGCGCCAAATTATATGGACTAAAATAATTTTTGATTATTTTTGTTTTGGGATAGATTTTCATGCTCTCTTTCTCTTCTATCTTTGTCGAAGCTAAATTATGGTCAATTTAGTTAATAAAAATATAAAATTAGTTAAAATTATAAGGCAACAAGCCAGACTATGCTGGAGTTTGGATATTGCCATTTGGAAAAAAGGCGGAAAAGTTTAACGGTTATCTAATTCGAACAATCTATGTAAAAAAAAACAAAATCAAAAGACTTAAGAAACAAACATGGCTGGTTTTAATATAAATGTATGGATTTGTATAGCATTACAGAAGTCTACACAAAATAAATGAAAATTAATTACAAACGTTTAGTTCACATGAACGTGTTCCATATGCCTTTATTTTTTATATTTCAAATATTTTTAAATATCATCTTTCGAAATGCATTTGTTAGCTTCTTCTTCTAATTATATTTTTATTTTTCATCTAACAGTTTAATTGTGAAATGTCTAGGTTGATGTCTAACGTTGTTGGGGAACTAATTATACAGAACTTTAAAAGTTTAATGTTGCAACCATGAGCGCGTTATTGAAACATAACAATGACATAGAATGTCAATAACGCCAAATGATGCAGCTGAGAAAATAAAAAAACGATTAACATTTTACGTTTATTAATAAATTAAATAAAGGCAAATAATTGTTTTACTGTCAGAATTATGAAAACAAAACAATTTCCGTATAACACGAATTTGTATGGAAAACGTTTTTTTATTAAAAAAAATAATTTTCATAGTTAAGTTCTATAATAATTAATGTTCTATAATAATGTTCTGTAATAATTAAGCAAGTATTGTAATTAATTAAGCAAGAATTGGGTATATTATTAACAATTATCAACAATAATGAGAAAATGATAAATAATCTGTATATCCTTCACCAGAGTGTGCTAAAGGGTTTACATCTAAGTGCGTTTTCTTGTAATATCCCAAAGGAAACACCATTGACCCTTCGTGATTCCTGAGGATATTTTTTTTGAAATCAACTTATGAGTTAAGCATAGAGAATTGGCCCAAAAAATAGCTGGTAGAAAAAA